CTTCGGCAGCTCTTCGGCCCTTCCCAAGTACCCAGTCCGCCCCGCTGGCCGCTTCCCCAACTCCAACCAGCAGTTCTCCCACACACACATGATGGGAAAAGAAAAATCAGATCTTGCTCCTTTATCCATGATAGATCCATCGCATGTCTTCGGCCCGTTTCTGACATTCCTCCAGATCTTCATCGGTGAGCCTGCCCGCTTCCGCTTCCGCATTTCGTCAATCTTGCATGACAGCCGTGCCTCTAGATCTCGGTAGCTTGCCATGTACCGACCAACCGAAGTTTCAGGCCGACAGATAGATTTATCAACGGTGCAAGCTGACGCTTCTGGCGCTGGGAATCACTCGACACATATCGTGGCATAACGCGTGGGGTTTCCGGCGAGGCCGTCATGTACGCGCAGCATCCCGACGATGCCAAACCCGCGATCGATGAGCTCCCGCAATAGCCGACGGCAGACGCGCATCACGTAAAAGGCCACCTCCATCGATAGAGGTGAACAAAGCCAGGTACAGACCTGCCACATGATACAGATGTACGCAGTGGCGACAGATTCGACCGGATTTCGATGAAGCTGCAGGAGTGTCGCTTTGGCCCATTCAGGTCGCCTGCCATCCTGGAGGAGTTTCAGGGCACGCCTCATTGACGCGTCTGCACCCTTCTTTCCCAGGAATAGGCCTTCTCTGCATGGCGAACTGCAAAAGAATGGAGTAGATCACTGTGCTGAGATCCCCCTTTCCAAATCGATGTTGATCGCCACCGCCCCCGCCGCCACCGATCGAGGGTTCCCAGCATTACGACGCTGAAATGAAGCTGAACATTCTACCAAGAGTCCATCGCCACTGGAACTTTAATCTTGCTCAGCCTCTGATGGAAGGCCTCATTACGACTCATTGCCGTTCGACACCCATGCCTGTCAGGGTACATGATCAGTTAAGCGCAAGAGATGCAAAGCTGATCGGTGTTCCTGTCTGTCCTGTCGTATTTCCTGCATGCAGCGAAGGCATCTGACTCTCCATTCAGGAACTAAAGTTCGCACTACTTCGCTGTGTACAGATTACTTGTTTCACCCCTCACCATGTTGCTCTAGCGGTCCTCCATGTCGAGACACTCAGTACTGGGGTCTTTGGGGAGATATGCCTCTTCATTTCGTTAAGATAGATTACCTAGCGTCATGGTATACAGTATTACACGTCCCAAAGAGGCACACGTCCTGGACTAGATTGCATCGTCTTCCTTCAACTCAGTATCCTAATCCTTCTCATTCGGATTTCGATTCCTATTTAGGGATTCATTGTGGGTTTAATCGCTCACGAAACTGTCCGTCCAGATTTTCCTACGACTATACGCGCGCGATGATCCAATTCTCAATATACGGTTCGAAGACTATGCCATGTGCTCGGCATTCTTTCCCTCTTCGACCGCGCTACGAAACGTTTCCCAAACTAGAACAACAAATGATATGGTCAATTTGTGGACATCATCAGCCCTTTGGCTACCACGCTCCAATGCATGACTCAAATTAATTCACAGTCTCTACTGCTTCCTGGCTACCTGACTTACACTCGCTACTCTTACGCTTTACCGTCTAGTCTGTAGATGCTACAATAGCGCTCACTACACATTTCTTGTGGGCACCAATATCGATTTTCATCCAGCGCAGGACTTGCAACTTACCCGCACAAGCGCCTCTGGTGTGCCAGACTCAGGATGCACATTTGAGCATCAAAAACGAGAGATCAGCCTAATCATCGTCCCCAAACTCTGGTATTGCACGTGCAGAACATATGGACCCTGGGCGCATCACAATTCTCTTAGTGCCAACATCTGCCATACATTCCGTTCAGTCCGGTCTATAAGACTATCTTTGTAGTCTACACTGAAGGCCCACAAGCCGTCTCAAACGACGAGTTACCGTGCAGACGCCCTACTGAGTTCTTCTAGCTTGAAGAGAATCATCCGTCATGCTTCATCGTACATTAAGCGACAGGTACGCTAGCAGAGCTACAGGAAGAGTTCTGGTCTCAAGCGCAATCGTTGGAACTTTATCCGAGACTTACCCGTTATACCGAAGATAGGTGGAACCTTCCTGGACTAAACGCTCGATAGTGGGCATATTGACCTTATTTAGTAGCACATTAATGTAGCACAGGTGAGACTTTTGCTTACTCAGAACACGCTCGCACATCATGAGACAAAGTCGACTAGTAGTGCTAAGAACCGGAAAGATGCGATCTAGGGAGCCTCACTCTGAGAGAACTGTTTACTGATCGCTCTAGTCATATGATCATCACTTACATATATCCAAGACACGATGTTCGCATGCAGAATAGTTTAATATCCCAACATCTCTCTCCTTCCTATCATCGTCGCAGTTGAAAGAACTCCTCTTCCGCCCACAGAAACCTTCCAAATAACTCATTGTTAGGTCCGAAATGCCCACCACCCGTCCAGCCCCGACAGAAAGGAACGAACGAACCTATCCACTTTGACCGGTAGCCCTAACAACCGCCGCGCCCGTCAACCACCCTACATCCCCACCTCTCGAGAGGATACTCCAACCTAAGCGCCCAACCCAATCCCAACCGCGGAAGCCAACAAGCGACGCTCGAAAACCCACCTTAAACCACCGCAGCTCCATCGCAAACCTCGCTTGCTAGCCCCCTCTCTCGAACAACTTGGCTCCAAAACAAGCGCAACGACACATGATTGGGACGCGCAGCAGATCTCCGGGGCGCCAGTCAGCTTGACATGACGTCTAGATACAATTTCGCGCCTATTGCTAGCCCGATAAGCTATCGGAGTGACTACCTGAGATAGGGCTGACGTCTACCAGCGAAAAAAAACGGCGCAAACCTGTGCGGTGTTTGGTAAGCTAGATGGATAGTTTGGGGCGGGCAGAGGGCAGGTTAAGCGCGGGGTGGGTTATAGGGCGGGATTATAGGGCAGATAGTCTTGTGATGGCCTTGTGCGTAGTTGGGTCCACACGGAGTAGGCGATACACGCTGGGAATTGTGTTGCGACGGGTCGTTTGGAGGGGCGGGCGTGAAGGTGTGGTTTTGGGGTGGGCTGATGGGGCCGCGCGGGTTTGGTACGGGTCGATCGTCATATGCGTAGGGTTTGCGGACCAAGTTGTTGGTTCCTCTCTTCCGAGGTCGAGTAATGCGCGGCTATGTCGAGTAAGTCGGGTAGTTGGGTCTGGATATGTGTATCCGTGGTGGATGGTGGTTGTTGCAAAGTTGGAGTCTGGTGGAGAAACTTCGTGTCTCTGATGATTGGAATTGCTCTTGTTCGAGAGCATTTTTGTGTGTAAGAATGGTATGTGTTGCGGAAATTATGAGTAGGTGCTGCTCGCTCTAGGTTGTCGCAGTACTAGTAGGTAAAGTAGGTGAAATCAGCGCGACGTCCTTCATGGAATGATTTGTACGAGATGTGTTACCCGGTTTACGCTGCACAAGCATGGTTTACAGTTGCATACTATGGATTCACGAGTGAGTGTAACAGCGGGCTAATTCATAAATCACCACCAGTGTTGAAATGAATATCTTATCTGTTTATGGTGAACAGCTATTACATCGCCTTTCCGATGAAAGAGGATTGACAGATATGATATCCTTATGAGTCCTCTCTAGATTGTCCACTCCCTACTTCACCCCTAATAAAGCCCACATCTTCATGATGCCTGAGACAATTAGCTCTCTAAAAACATTGGGCTGTTGTACACCCTCTCCATTCACATCAACGATGCCATCCCTTGCTGACACTGTCTTCCACTCCGCATCCGAAATCTCTCTGACCTGCCAAAGCGGATTGATACCCACCCTGGGTGTTCCAGTTAGATAAGCTACAATTGGAAAACCTCGCATTGCAATCAAGACATCGTTGGGGCCGAATCCACTAAGTTGCAATTCGAAGCCATCTCTCGCCCGATCCGCCAGCCACGTATTGAAGTTCAAGTCGCCGACGAGATCTGCTGGTGATCCAGGACGATAACGAACGGTGATCACTGTCTTTGTAGTGTATCGGCGTCGTCGGACCTCAAGACATTTTCTGTAGAACTCGACGATGGTGGCATGTTCTTTGGAGCCGCGTAAGAAGACATAAAATTGTGGATCGTAAGTGCATCCTATGTCGAAATGGCGCGGAATCCAGGTTTCAGGATCTTTGCTAGCACCAAGGCCGTACCAATCCTCTGTGATTTCGTCATACTCATGTTTCTCGAAGATCGTGCCAATGCTGCGGTAATTGTTAACGAAGCTGTGAAGGCTTGTCGAGTCGATGATGAAATGTGAGGGCTCATCACGTAGCCTTTCGAGCTTGGGCGCGAGGAAAGGTGCTGCTTCTTCATGAATGAGACGGCAGGTAGCGAGTATGGCTACTGGCAGACTATTCACAACAAGCGTCATGTATGATGGTTGAGTCGTTTGCTCCTCAGGTTCAGGCTCAGGCTTGAATGTTGGGTCTTTGAGTCGATAGTGACAACTTGATATCTCGATTTCCTCGTAGACCATACATCGTAATTCTGCGGGAAGGTCTAGGAGCCGGAACGGCTTGTCTTGGGTTGATGAGCAGGCTGGTTTGGAAGAAGATGATAATGTATCCATAGTGCTGGATTGAAAGTAGGTTAAGTTGGAGCCTTGTTGGTTCAGTTCGCTTGACATAGAGAACCAATCTTAGTGAGTTGATTTCGTAGTAGAAAGAGTGTGAGGTCGTTATAGAGCAAAGACCAAAAGCTCTGGCTTTTTCCCTTGCCTCCCTCCTCCCTCTGTGAAAGCGCCTTATCAGTTCCGGTGAACAGGCTCAGTGACAGTTCGTCCGCGACATTCACTGTGGCTTGCGCGTGGAGCGAAGCTCGTATTTTCTGAGTCGTGCGCTGGCATGTCCCTCGTCTTCACCTTCACGAAACTTCTGTGATCCACGAAACATATACGCGAGAGCATCCATGACACTCAAAAACGATATCGTTCGCGGCACATAACTCATATTGGGTATCTCATCATCTCACCTCTTCCCCTTCTTCGCACCCCCCTTCCCCCCCTTCCCTTTCTTCCCACTCCCCGTAATACCCTCCACATCCTTCTTACTCAAACTCAGCGTACCCCCCCTAAACCTGCCTATACTAGGCCCGCCAACCCCCCTCTCCCTCTTCTTCTCCGGCCCCTTCTTAACCACCCTATTCTCCCTCTCTAGAACAATACCCGCTTCCTTTGCGTCCGCCCGCCTCTTTTCTTCCGTCGTCCGCGCTTTGTCTATCATGTGTTTGCGCTGTGCCATGGGCATCTTCTTCTGTGTGAAGATGGAGCCTTTGGCGCCGAGCGCTTGGAGGTGCAGGTCTTGTGATTTGTGGCGTGCGGCGCCGGTGGCGACGAGGGTGGGTGTGGAGGTGCCCGAGGACGAGGCGGAGAGGAGGTGGGATTCGCGGAGGAGGCGTTGGAGGGCCATGTCGTTTTTTAGCATGGAGGATTCGTTGGGGTCGGCGTCGTCGTTTTGTTTCTTCTTCGTGGTGGTGTTCTTTGATGTTGTAGTGGATGCTGAGGTGGGCGGTTTCGACGACATGAAGGCTTTCATTTCTGCCCGTTCGGTCTCGTCGAGTTCGCGCGTTGGGTCTTGGTACTCGATGACTTCGACGTCATTTTCGTTGTCGCTTATGCCTGACCAGTCCGATTCCTCTTCCTCCTCTGGTTCGTCTTCCACGGGCGCTTCCTCTATCTTCGCTTTCTTAGGCTCTACCGGCAGAGGCTTGAACTTTGCTTCGAATGCGCGCCGGAATATCGCCTGGAGATCTTCTGCGCCGGAGTCGTCGCCCGAGCCGGAAGAGGGAGAAGGTGATCGCGACGGTTGTTCGAGTTCTTTGCGCGTTACACGCTTCCGTTTTCCGAGTGCGGGCGCCATTATCGTGTCGTTGTGGGCTGTGCTGAGCGCAAGCCGGGGCGATCCAAAAGTTCAACCTAGGAAATTCTTAGCGCCAAATGCTCGCTCGGACCTCCGTCTTTCACTCGACCCCTCCCCCGCAACACCACCATCACCACAGCCATACAGATTGCAAGATGACGCGTTTCCGCCCTTGTATAGACCTCCACGCCGGAAGCGTCAAGCAAATCGTCGGCGGCACACTCAACACTACCACCCCCGACGTCCTGAAGACAAACTGGACCTCCGAGCACCCTTCCGCTTTCTACGCCGACCTATACAAACAACATGACCTAACAGGTGCGCACGTCATAATGCTCGGTCCAGGAAACGACCAAGCAGCGCAAGAAGCATTGGAAGCATGGAAAGGCGGCATGCAAGTTGGCGGCGGGATTACAGAGAAGAACGCGGCTGAATGGATTGAAAGAGGCGCGGACAAGGTGAGCTTTGCGCATATACCAGGACACACACTATTATAAAAGGTAGATAAACTAATCGACGCGCAGTAGGTAATCATAACATCGTACCTCTTCCCCTGCTCCACCTTCTCCATGGACCGCCTCCGCGCCGTCCTCCAAGCCCTCGACAACGACAAAACAAAACTCGTCATCGACCTTTCCTGCCGAAGGAAAGACGACAAGTGGTTCGTTGCGACCAACAAGTGGCAGACCATCACCGATTTTGAATTGAACCAAGGTACATACACCACACCCCTCCTCTACAATCCCAGAACAACAGCTAACAAAACACAAATAGAATCGATATCCCTCCTCGAACCCCACTGCAGCGAGTTCCTCATCCACGCCGCCGACGTCGAAGGTCTACAACGCGGTATCGACCACGAACTCGTTACCAAGCTGGCGGAATGGTGCAGCATACCCGTCACGTATGCGGGTGGAGGCCGGTCGATTGAAGATTTGGAACTGGTGAAGGAGCTGAGCAAGGGCAAGGTGGATCTTACCATTGGCAGCGCACTGGATATCTTTGGTGGTTCGGGCGTCAAGTTCCAGGACTGCGTCAAGTGGAACGCGGAGCAGGCATAGATGAGCAGGTCGTATGACTGGACGAGACGCTGGTGGATGTCAGATGCTCGGAGGTGTAGAATTTGGGATATACATTGGATTGGTGACTCTGCACAACTTAGGCCATCCACGTCAATCCATCACAACAAGCAAACCGCACCAAAATGAATGCAAACAATCACATTCTTCCCTCTCTCGGCCCATCAAACTGCCCTTTTATCTAGAGGCAGACGAGCCAAACTAAGCTTTCACTAGCTACAATAGCCATGCATGCATGCATCAAACTCCACTTTGGAAAGAAAAAGAAAATCCCCCCCTTGAACCCCAAAATCGTGTTACTCAATCAAGCATCTTAAAACCATGGGGAGGAAAAGCCGCGCCCAAATGTGGTGTGGTGGAGCGACGAAAAACCGTGCAAGCGCGTAATGGAAATGCCTGGAATGAAATGTTTCTTTCAATCTTCTTTCGTCCAGGTCTTTGCAAGTTATACAGTGAGGCAATAAACGACATGTAGAGAAGGTATAAGGTGGTTCGGTGTCACGCGGTCGTGTTTGAGGACGTGCGTTGTCATCTGGTACTGTTAGTAGATGCTCAAAATACGGTGTGTAGTGGTGCAACTTACGTTCTTCAGACGCCAGCTCGTGGTGTGCCAACTGCACTTGTCATTGTGCTAAGACCACCGTGCACGCTGCCACCGTCGTCGTAATCTTGCCATTCTGGGAACTCCGCGGTTGCTTCACGGAGCTTGTCAAGTGCGGTCTGTTCGATGAGGTTGGCGTCTTGGAAGAGCAGCGATGTGTCCTCATTGTATGTGCGACAGTTGTTACACAACAAACCAAGGTCTTGACGGAATTGCTTCACAGACTGGTACTCCTTCTTGTTGATCTTCTTCTCGATCTGCTTCATACAGATGGGGTTCTTGATCAGCTGGTAGTAGTCCGGGTAATCCCACTTGTCTGGCAGTTCGATGAACGGGTCGATGATACCGCGGTTGGGAATGTTCGGGTCTTGCGACTCCTCCTCCAGATCGTTGAGAGCTTCGTAAACAAGATTGACGACTTTTTGAAGCGAGGCTCGTTGATCAGGAAGCAACATGTCCTTGGCTGGAGCAGGCCGACCGCGTTTCCGAGGTGCGAGATCAACGTCGAGGGAGGCTTCGTCAGCTTTGCGCTTCTCAGCCTTGGGTTTACGACCTCGCTTCTTCGGCATAGGCTCTTCTGAACTAGCACGTGAAGGCACAGGCGAATCCTCGTCACGCGCTCCGCCACTCTTCCTACCCCGCTTGGCGACCTTGGCTTCTTTGCGGGCGATAGCAGCTTCGATAGTGTCTTCGTCGTTGTCGACAGCCTCCAACCACTGCTCCTCGGTAAGACCGTCATCGTACTTGACGCGAGTACGCTCTCGAGCGCCACGACCAGCTGGTGTGTCATCCTTCTCGTCGACAATGGGCGCCTCCTCGTTAAGGTAGATGTCGGGTAACTCGCTCTCACCGATCAAGCGACCGAGCGGCTTACCTGGACCATATGGATCTTCAGCCGCACGCTTCCTATCCATCTCCTGGAATGTTATCAGCTCATGGTCGTGACGCATCATGATCTGGTTCAGGTCGTCATCGTCCATCTCCTCTTGTTCAAGGCTCTCAGCCGCTTCAGCAGACTCCAACATGATACGCAACATGGCGTCTCGCTCGTCATCCTTGGACTTGTTGTCGAATTTACCAGCTTGGATGACCTTGCCGTCCATGTCCAACTTGTAGTTGGCTCGCTCGAGAATCTTCTCTTCAACCGAGTTGGAAGTGATGAGACGCAGAATGCGGACCTCGTTCTTCTGACCAATACGATGAGCACGATCCTGGGCTTGTAAATCCTGGTGAGGATTCCAATCCGAGTCGTAAATGATGACTGTATCGGCAGTTTGCAGGTTCAGTCCAAGACCACCGGCACGCGTTGAAAGCAGGAAGCAGAAGTATGGTGAGTCGGGAGCGTTGAACAACCTCAGTAGATCGGATCGGTCATCTGCTTTGGTCGCTCCGTCCAGACGCAGGTACATCATGCCCCGCAACCGTAAGTAGTCCTCCATGATATTCATGATTTGTGTCATCTGGAAGAACATGAGGACACGATGGCCTGTAGCCTGGAACTTGGGTAGAATGCGGTCAAGCAATTCGAATTTGCCGGCCGCACGCCATAGGAGATCGTTGGTGCCCTTGGTTGGATTCATGACGTCCTCAACCTCTTCGAACACGAACGGATGGTTACACAGCTTACGCAACTGCATCAACATGTTGCTCAGACCGCGCATACCAGTCTTTCCGCCCTTGCCGTCGCTGACCATGAGTCGATTGTGTGTAACAAGTTGCTTGTACAGCTTCGCCTGGAGGGTGGAGAAGTTGCACTTGATCACACGCTCGGTCTTGTCGGGAAGATCCTTCTCGACATCGCGCTTGAGACGACGGAGCAAGAAAGGCCTAAGCACCTTATGAAGTCGACGAATGACGAGCAACTGCTCTTCTTCTGTAAGCTCCATCTTGTCTTGACCTCCAGTATTGGCGAAAGGAGTGTTGAACCACTCGTCGAACGAAGTGGCCGACTTGAAGATAGTGGGTAGGACGAAGTTAAGCATGGCCCACAGTTCCGTGAGGTTGTTTTGCAGTGGGGTACCGGTAAGAATGAGACGATAACGCGTTGTGTAGTACTGTGTGATGGTCATGCTGAGCTTCGAACCGGCGTTCTTCATACGGTGACCCTCGTCGACAATCATGTGTACCCACTTGATCTTGCTGAGCACTGGTCTGTCCTTGATGATGAACTCGTATGTGGTGAGGAGAACCTGGAACTGGCCCCATCGAATCTGCTGCTGGTATTGCTTACGCGAGTTGGGAGGACCCTTGTAGACAATCTTGGTGACGCTTGGTGCCCACTTCTCGAACTCGTTGGTCCAGTTGGTCAGAGTACTCAGCGGTACAATGACTAGGTAAGGTCCTGGTTGTCGCTTCTTCTCAATAAGGTAAGTGATCAAACTGATGGTCTGAATAGTCTTTCCAAGACCCATCTCGTCTGCAAGGATACCGTTCAGGTTGTTGTTGTACAGGGATATCATCCACTGCAGACCCTTGAGTTGGTATTCCTTCAGGGTACCTCCAACCAAGTTGGATGCCTGCTCTGTGACCTCCTCCTTGACGCGATGAGCAATCTCATAGTAGTCAGTCTTCTTCTTGCCCGGACGATCTTCATCACCAGACTCGGCTTCGCTCTCCTCTTCGGGCTCCTCTGGCTCGTATGAGTTGTTTGCGGATCGCTGTTGTGCCTTGACGGAATCGGCGAGTTGCTTCAAGAAACCATCGGTCTGCTTGAGCAAGTGCGAAATACGGGTATCCTTGGCTTGGCCCAAAAGCTTGAGGTAGGTCTCTTCGTCGTTGGACTTGAGAGCCTGCAGACGTTGCTTCGCGGTGCGCTCGATGCGCTTCTGCTCTTCCTTCTCGATGTTCTGGTGGGTGGTGATCATGGTACGACCAAGCTTCTGCAGACGCATACGCTGAGCCGTGCCAGATTCTTGCAACTCGTTGCGGTGCTTGCGGATGGCATCGATGAACTCGTGGTGCTTCTTCTTCTCCTTGGTCTCGCGTGCGTCGCGTTGTTGCTTCTCCAGCTTCTCGGTAAGACGGGCTTCGCGCATCGATTGCTTCTTGAGGCGTCGGTATACTGTCCGGTTCGCTGTCATGGCAAGGTTGTCAGCGTGGATCATCTGCTGGGCGATCTCTCTCCGCAGTTTCCGTTGCTTCTCCAACAGGTTAAGCTTCTTCTGCTCAATGACTAGGGCCAGTTTGACCTTTCCATCATCTTCGGGTGTGTCGGTCTTGCTGGTGTCCCAAGAACCGATGTTTGCGTGGACCTTCTCCAGTTCGGCCCTCCTCGCAGTGAGACGGTTGTAGAGAAGAATCTCGCGCTCCTTGCGTATGTC